ATATATATATATATATATATATATATAGATGTTTGTAAATATTTCATTATGTAATAAGTTATGAAGAGATTATGTTGTGGTGTGTTTGTATGTGCTTTACATATAGATGTTTTCTTTTCTCACCGTATAACTTGTGGATATTTTAGGTGAGGAAGATTCGGCTATGAGTGACATCTAGAATGTCAACCATTGAGTTGTGGGTGTGCTCTGATATTGTGACATTTGGGCAGAGAATTCTAGGCTAAATTTGTATATGTATTTAGAGTTATACCTTCTCTTTTGAAAGCAATTTGTAAACTCTCAAGTTTTACTTTCTAAATTTCATTTTTAATTATTTTGGTTATTTTTGAAGGTTTTATATGAACCCTTTTATCAACGTTAAATATTTTATTCTTTAGTTTATTTACAAGAATTATTTATATATGTGTTGAGGTAGTAAGGGTGTCACAATATATCTATACTATATCTATACTATATTATCTATACTATATCTATACTATACTAGATAAAAATATTTGGTCTCAAATTTTATTTAAGATATTTTTAGTCTTTTCTAATTATATATTATCTCGCTTGATTTATATTCTCTAACTTCCACTATTTTATGTTTATTTTATATTATTTTAAAGAAAATAAATAAAAGTATGAATAAGTATCTCAATTTCACTAATAACATATACTAATTTACATATATAAATATTATCTTCACTATTTAAAATTTTTAAATTTATCAATTGTTGTTGTTATCATTGTTACGACTCGCTTCCATCATGTCCAATTGACTAATTAATATATTAATGACACCTAAATACCAACCCCACCTTCAATTAATGTTATGTAGCATCTTATATGGAAATGATGTCTAAATCATATGTAAGTGATTACCTCTATCTCCTTTAACAAAGAAAACATGTGTGATCCCTTGGTATCTTCTTTGTAACGACTATGTAGGCCGCTATACTTGGTTTGACATAACTATAGCGCAGTGGAAAACATAACTATAGCGCAGTGGAAAACATAACCATAAACCAATCTATAATTATCATGTAAGTAATACCTGAATGGTCATTAAACATGTATTAGGTGCATAAAAGATAAAACAATCTCTGCCAATATCAACTAGAAGTGATAAAGCCTTTTATGGGGTTATAGAAAATCATTATACATATATTATACAACTATGATATCTATACTAAAAAATAAATTCTAAGCGTCAGTCTAACGTCTTTATACATAGCTGCTTTAGAACAACTGAACAAAATCTCATCTCCAAGCATGACCATCCAACTCCAACTTATACCCATCATTTAAATTAGGAAAGTCCAGCACATCCATTAAGAACAATACAACTACCACGACTTTGATATGGATAAATCAAGCCTCATCATATAATTAACCCATCACTTGTCTTCTTAGTATCGCACCCTTTCCAACACTCGATTAAAGATTGTGGCCATCGATTTTGCACCTTACTCATTGGCCACTTATAACAAGTGTGGGTGGGCTTGTCCACCATACTATTTCAACTAAACAAAATCTAGAGGAGACAACCTTAATTGCTTGCATTAAATGTGTTTTACCAAATTGTCACTTCTCATATGATCAAGAAAACTACTTATAACCTTTTAGGTATCAAACAGGTGGAGTCATACATGTATTAGTTCAAAATATGTCTTATATAGAGCATTCATCTTATACAATTCATTCATATTATATAGTGGTTTAAAAAAATTTCTTTAAATATGTCTATGTTTGTTATCATTAAAACTTTATAGCTGAGAGATCTAAAATTATCTTTTGACTTAATAGTCTTCTTATAATGATGAGCCTTTCTTAGTTAACGAACTCAACATTTTGCCGTTACTGTCGTTGAGCGAGCCCGTCCCGCTCATCATCCTTACCTCTTAGGGGGGTCACTCTAAGCATAAGGATGTCGCTCAATGAGTCTTCATCATCTTAAACACTTGTGTGGATTCTCATTGAGCGACAAATGCATCACTGGCCAAGAACACAATTTTAGGGTTTTTGGCCTTAATATTTTGAAGGCTCGCATAGTATAACACCCCCCAAATTCGATGTCTTAAAGGCTCTACTCTACGATACTTCACATAGTGACACTTTACACAATTCCTCATTAGTTGGAACTCTTCATTAGTCAGAACCCTTCATGAGTAGTCCTTTTTGAGATGCTCAACTACCTTTAGGATCATCGAATATCCCCCACAAACCAACACAAGATTTTATAGGGTGCTTTGTTCTCACTCACACATTTTCTAAGAAACTTCTTAAAATGTCACTCATTCTAAATCACTTCAAGTCAAACACGCTTAACTATAAAGTTCTTAAGTGATGAGCTATCAAAAATTAGATGAATCTTGTTGATATAGTTAGTATAAATTAGTCCATTTAAGTCACTCTCAGTTTCACACTTGTACAATTTTACACTTGTACAAATCTTTGGATCCCTCTCATTCTATTGTGTTTGGGCTATTACAAGTGTAACACCCCAGTTTTCAAAAAGCTTATTATTATTATCATTATTATTATATGGTATTTGGTCATAATTATTTTAATAATTATAGAGGAATATTATTTTGTACGTTTTAAATAATTATTATTTTGGACAATTATTTTGTACGTATTAAATAAGTATTTTTATTAGCGTTTTTAAATAAATATTTGTATGTTTTAAGAGAAGGTTGATTTTATATGATATTTTGTTATTGAAATTATATTATTATATTTTGGGTTAGAAATATATTATTATTAGAGGAAAAATATTTTATAATGTACATGTATTTATTTTATTTAATTATTTTGAGGAAAAAGAGAAGTGGGTTAGAAGAGAAGGAAAATGGCTTGGGTTGACCCAGTCCAATGGATTAATTTTAAGAAAGGAGTCAGGTAGCGTTAACCCTATCTACCTCATTTGCGTTCTGAAGGGTTAGGGAAAAAAAGAGGAGAAATAAAGAGTTCTAAGGAAGAGTACTCAGGAATGATCTTAGATCACACCAAGACCATTCGTCTTCTGCTCATCCAAGTAAGGGGGGAGTGAGAAACCTTACTCTGGGTGTGGGAATGTATGTTGGGTAGTTGAATTGGCCTCCAATCCTGTGTTTGTTGTATGCTCATGTAAGAGGGGTTTTCCCAATTGTATTTGTTTCATCTATTGTTCCTCTTGTATGTAATTAATTGTATAAATTGCTTGAATGAACGATTAATTTCTGTTTTAAAATTGTAATTGTATGATTTGAGATTTCTGTGGGTTCCTAGGGAAAACCTTATGAGAAAATAGGTAAAATATGAATGTTTTCTGTTTTATCCCCTGAGTTTTCTGTTGTGTTCTTTGATGTTTGCGGAGTGTAAATATGTGTTTCATTTCGCAAATAGATGAGTTTTGATATGAATTAAAGTGCTCTGTAAAAATTGTGAATATGATGTGATAATATGATAATGTGATATGGTGATGTGATATGATGATGTGTTATGATGATGAGACATGATTATGAGACATGATAATATGATATGGGAATGAGATATGAAAATGTGATATGAGAAAAACATGGAGTCTTGATTGACATGCATCATGTGCATAAATGTTTTTAAGGGTACGATATGGAATACACCGCCAGAGAAGGCCCCCTAGTGTAAAAGCTTTGGGGATTAGTCCTTGGGGATAGCTCGGTTTGCAAGTCCCGGTCTCGCCCGTTGTGTGCATGGGATGTATCTTGCGCAGCTTAGCTATCTCGATGAGACTCTGGTAGTATGTCCTTCTAGTGAGAGTGCCCAGAGGGTGTGACCCGACATGTACTCCTAGACTACTCTTCGTGTATTGCTAGCGGCAATATGTCATGTAATATGTTATTGGCGCCACATGCATGATAAAATATAGTTCGTGTCCATACATGTGCATTTTAATGTTATATGAAAAATTGATGATGAGTGAGATATGATGATTTTATTAATTTATCTATATTATACCTGTTTTGTTTGTGTTTGACTATCCGACGTATATTTCTACACTGTGAGCTAGAGTGAGATGTTTCTCACTCCTTTTTCTTGTGTTGTTTTTCCTTGATTGTCTTACAGGTAATTATCAGCATGAGATTGAGGATGTTGGTGATGAAGCTTAGGTTTCTATGTTGGAATTTGCTCTGATAAGACATATGATTAAGCTACTGTTTAAGTTATGGATGTGATACTCTCTATTTAAACATGTTTGGTATTTCAATTATGAAAAAAAAAATTGTTATTCAATTTTTGTTATTTGTGTTATGGTATGTGGGGTAGAGGGTGTCACATTAAGTGGTATCAGAGCAGGTCGATCCAATCGGCCGTGAGTTATGTACTTATCATGCTTCTGTTGTGTACTTTGACAATGTTTTGTTTGTTGTATACTTTGATGATGCTTTGCTTTGATAATGATGATGATGATGTTCTCCTTGTGCTGATATTGTTGAGTTTTATATTGTTAGATTATATTGTAATTAGAGGAATGATAGATAGTGTTAGCTAATATCATTATGACTACTCTTCTTCATTCTTATGAGTGCTTAATTGTTTGATACTTCTTGCTTACGGAAGAAGTAGTGGTTGGGTGGCATTGCTTGTGTTGCAAGCATATGTGCAAGTAGTAGTAGACGATATATTGTGCTAATCAACTAGAAACTATGAGGACCTTAGATTTGGGTGAGACATTGATTTGTCGAGAATTTACGGTTAATGGAGTTTCTAGAATCTATAGTTGTAGCAATTGAATCCAAGGAGGTTGTATCTAAGAATTGGAGTTTTGGTATCCTTGATGAGAGATTGAAATATGGGTAATTCCCTTGAGTGTTGGTGCTGACATGTTAACCGTTTATGGTTTAGGTAGTATGTGAGTTTTATTTTCTAAGTCTGTTGTGCTAAAGATGTGAGTTGTTTTGGTTTAGGATTTTAGTGGGAAGCTTGAATATGAAGTTGAGGTGTGAGTTTGGAAGGGTTGAGGTATTTTTGTGGCCTTAGATATATTGATATCACAAAACAATATCACTGGTAATGTTGATGAAATACCAAAATCCTATAAAAGATAGACTATCCATTGAGATTCACATGTTGCTAAAGCCATAGCTCTATACTCTGCTTCTGAGGAAGATCTGGATACAACGGATTGTTTCTTACTCTTCCAGGATATCAAAGATTGTCCTAAAAAGAAGCAGAAACCAGAAGTGGACCTTCGAGAATCAATACAAGTACTCCAATCTGAATCTGTGTAACCTGTAAGTTTCAGATCTGATGCGACTGGAAAGAAGAGACCTTTCCCTGGTGCATTTTTAATATATTTCAACACCCTAAGGGCAGCTTGATAGTGAGCAACAGTAGGACAATCAAGTGACTGACTTAGCTTACCAACTGCATAGGATATGTCTGGCCTAGTATTGGTTAGATAAATCAATCTTCCAAGTAATCTTCTATACTTCGTAACATCTTCAAACATAGGTCCAGAAGCTTTATGAAGATGATTAGTGTGATCCATTGGTGTAGAACAAGGTTTTGAAGCCAATAAACCAGTGTCTTGAAGCAAATCTAATGCATACTTTCTTTGATTGAGACAAATACCTTTAGCAGACCTTGCTACTTCTAAACCCAAGAAAAATTTGAGTTGTCCAAGATCTTTAATGCCAAACTCTTTATGAAGAATTTGTTTGACATTGTTGATCTCATCTAAATCCTCACCAGCAAGAACTAAATCATCAACATATGTGAGAATAACTGTGAGGCCTTTAGATGATTTCTTTGTGAATAATGAATAATCAGCTTTGGATTTAGAATAGTCCAATGAAATTAGAAAAAATATTTTTCTTTAATTTTATCTTTTTAAAATGGCTTAAATATGTCTTTAATCCTTATAAAATTAATAAGTTTTGATTTTAGTTTCTGTAAAAAAAATGTTTTTCATTTTCTAAAATTGGAATTTTTATTTTTAATTCTTATTTTTTATGTAATTATTTTTAACTACTTTTTATTTTTTTAAAAAAAGATAAATAATTATCTTAGGTGTCACCTACAACAATTACGTACTATTATCATATTAATATTTAACACCTCTAATTTTTTTTAGTTTTTTAAAATAAATATTATTTATCTACCTTAAAATAATCAAACTAGTGAATTTATATTTTAGAGGGATGAAAATCAAAGAAAAATATTTTACTCATTTTACAAGTATGAAAAATAAAGAAAAAAATTTACAGAGACCAAAATCAAAATCACCAATCTTATAAAATTAATATTTTCGATCTTAACAATTATTTTA